CTGGAAGTTTTCACCATATTGGGCCACTGTGGGAAAGTGAGAAGTTAACCTTCTTCTCACTTTCTTACCCACAGCAGCTCTTTGCCTTGAGACTAGGCTGTTACAGGTTGGGCTGTGGGCCATAGAGAGAGGGGTCATGGGGACCCAGGGTGCCCGGACCGGGTGTGTCGTGGGCACACTGTGAATGGGTCAATGGTACATTGGTACAAAGAAAGGTCATCCATGTGAAATAAAGAGAGAATAAAGAAGTAAAGTAGGAAGAAAGTGAGGAAGCAGGGATGAGGAGAGAGAAAGGAAAAGAGGGAAGAGGTGAGGAGGGGTGGACAGCAGGGTACCAGGTCAGGTGGGGCCGGGTCAGGCAGGTGTGCCCTGACACTATCTGCTATACCGCCCTGCTACCCCACTACCACCTGAGCCACTAGCGCTGGGCGCTACACCACCACCCCCACCTCTCCTGCACCATCCCTGACACTCACCCACCATCAGACGACCCGGGACATCAAGCTCCACCAGACACACCCACCTGGGTAGCAATCGGATCTCCCCCAGGTGGGTTCGTGACAGGAAACAATGATACTGTCATATCCATTCCCGGCCATCGACTTCCGGTCCCTCCGTTCCCTCTGGTCTAACTCCACTCCTCCTTCACTAACCTCGGAGGCCCCAATTCCGCAACCCTCTCGGCACCCCTCAATGGTCACCACCCCCTCATTTCAACTTATTACCTACGCCTCCCTAAGTACGGAGCCCCGAAGACTTCCGGACAGCTCCGACGTCCGCTAGCGCACCCCCGCCTCTGCTGGGCAATACAATCGCCTGCCCTGCAGAGCCTACCTTCGGGCTTATCCCTCCTTTCCATATCTGGGTTATCGCCTGCCTTTCCGCTAACCCCGCAACCCAACTCGTCGGTAATATTCAGTCGGCTAATGACTAACCCCGTTAGCTCCGCTCCGTCCGGCTCCACCAATTGCGGACCCGTCTTCGCTGTAACCATATATATATCCCGCTTGTACATAGGTTACACCCCAGTAATAAAATCAACTAGAGTTACCCCCCTAGGTTCTAATTGCCAGTCAGTAAGTTAGGGCACGGACGTGTCACTAGGCACAGCGCTCTTGGCAGAAGTCGCTGAGGCCAAGCCCTCTGTTACGGAGACATTCCTTCGTCTCGAATCTGGTCTCTGACAGATACACTAATTGTCACAAACCTCTCAGCACTCAGAGTGTGAGAATGGAGCAGAGCAAGAGCGAGAGTCATGAGATCATGGGAAGCAAGATCATGAGCCAGAAGATCACAAGATCACAAGAAGCCAATTGAGGTCAGCAACCTGTGTTGACCAGTTGAAGAGTCTGCCTTCACTGGTCAACTCCTTATATACATGAAGACATGCTAAAACATGCAAGATGAGACAAGAGAAACATCCTAGTCATACAGGAAGTCTCAAACTGCATGAGCTGAAATGGAACTGAGATAAGCGGGACATGTGACATGTGAGACCTCCGTTAAGTCCGTTTGGGGTTATGGATTAACCATAACACTAATGTACCCAAAATGTACCTTTCCGGCCCATATACAAACTTCCACCCAACATGTTATATGCTGATCTAATCAGATGGTGTAAGCACTTTTAGTGGAAACGGCTGGAACTGAAGCAGTCCTGGCCTGTGAATTGGCATGTGTGGGCATTGTGCAACCTGTAATGTACAACAGAATACACGAAAATCCAAATACACACTTTAGCAAGATGAGGCTAGGAATATCAGATATCGGGTTGGTGAAAGGGGAGGTGGTGGGTAGATGTGACAGAAGGGAAACCAACTAAAAGAAGCTGAATGTTACAGGAATGGGTTCTGGGGAACCCAACCTGAACTGTTCGGCTCACTAATGGGATGAGTATTTGGAAGTACAACCTGCAGGTTGGCCAACGGTAACTTGGCGCTCCTGGGAGCGTACCGGTAGCGAGTATGATGTGGGCTCCTTGAGGGAGCCACCTGGCTGTCTGCTAACGGGGACTTGGCGCTCCTGGGAGCGTACCGGTAGCGGGTGTGCTGGGAGTGGTTGGCTAGCGGTGACTTGGCGCTCAATGGAGCATACTGGTAGCGTGGGATACTGGGACTCCCAAAGGGAGTCACCCAGTGGGTGGCTATCGGTGACTTGGCGCTCATGGGAGCATACCGGTAGCGGGAGTTGTTGGGGAAAGCGGGCTGGTGGACCAGTGCATGGTAGTGGGTGACTGTGGGAAGTGGGGCCTGTGGGTGTGTGGCCAGGCATCCTGGAGCTGCCTGGACCATATCCCTCTCCTAAGGAGGTGGGATAGGCTACAGTTCCTGATAGGGAACTTCTGGTTGGAGGGGAGTGACTGCTCAACCACCCGGTGGACTGGTGGGAGCGGGCAGCAGGAGGTTGGGCGTGGGAATGCCCTCCTTGTTGCGGTTTTGTCATGGAGAGGATGAATAGGGAGGTGGACATGGTTCTGAGGTTACAGGTTGAGTTTACAGTGGTGGCACAATGGTGAGGATGTTACAACTGTGGTACAAGGTTTGTGGGTTATGTATTCAATAATGATTAACATTCTCGGCATTTGCCTTTACATGTCATATGACTGGTTTCTATCTAATATCAAAGTCTCAATGGTCAAGGGAAGTCCCTTGAAACTTAACAATTCCCCCAGCCAGCACCAAAACCCAGTGGGAAAGCTTGGCATGGAGTTTGACAGAGAAATATAATGAAGGAGGGCAGAGACAACCTACCTACTTGCAGTCATGGACCATAAGAATCTAGTCCATCTCTATAACACTGAAAGAAGTAGCACAGGCACTACAGTGGGACCTGCATGGAGTTTGTGCAAGGTGGAGTAGACCTACTTGAAAGCACAGCGCAATGTGAACTTAAGATGGAGCTTAGATGCAGACAACTTGTCTGTGGCACACATATAAGCTTCCAGCCCCTGTTGCAACCAACTGAGGACTTGAGCAGACGCAAAGGCAGCGCTGAGGGAGCAGACAGAAGGAAACCTTCTGCCAGTGTCACATGCATGTCCAAAACACATGAGGAACACGAAAAACCCAGGATAGTGAACACCCACAAAGTCCCATCCATGCTGCAACAATGCAGGACCATGCAGCACTATTTGGTGCCAATTACCGTCGAGATTAGTCATGTGAAATAAGAATATTATGTTGCAGTACGATAGACCCTGCCTCCTATTGGTTGATGCAATCTCCTAGAGAACTGCTGTGGCCATATGGTGTAGTGGTTTATCACCTCCAAATATATGTTGGATGGACCCGGGTTCGAATCCTGGTGTGGCCACCCTTTTCAGAGTTTACAATAGGTTATGAGCCCAGCCGGCCTAACGGCTTGCTGAAGTATCATCAAGAAAATCCACTTGACCCTCGTGGTGGACAGGCTAAGAGCTCTAACGGCCTTCCTCGGGTTTCTGGCACACACTATACCCACCCCCTCTTTAAGTCCATGTAGGCAATAAGTCCGTGTAGGCAATAAGTCCATGTTGGCAATCACTCGCACAATCCGTCTAGGCAATAAGTCCGTGTAGGCAATAAGTCCATGTTGGCAATCACTTGCAAAAATCGGTCTAGGCAATAAGTCCGCGCAGGCAATAAGTCCATGTAGGCAAACCACTCCTCCTTCAAAGTCCTGAAGGTAGCACTAGGAAATCATTCCTTCTTATCACTGTAAGCCCTCAGACAGGCATGCGGATTTCATTTCAATTTCCCTTATTCCTGACTATATTTGCATTTTCATTCTCGTACGATTCGGATACATCCGGTTCAGAGGGTGTACCGCTTCCTTTATCCACCCTCCCCATGCCTACTCCTCTATTTGAGAAACTTGCTGATGACAATTACCCAAGTTGGGCAATGCGGATGGAAGCATACCTGGTCAAGCAGGATCTATGGGACATTGTGTCAGGGGATAACCAACGGCCATCTGGCAGTCCGAACTCAAAGGCAGTCAAGGCTTGGGAAAAGAAACATCGTCTGGCAGCTGCTGAAATTCTATTAAACGTATCGGACAAATACATGGCACACTGCAATAACAAAGATGCACCCGGGACGTGGAACAAACTCAAATCGATTTTCCAGTCTGAAGGGCACAGCACAATTACGTCGCTCCGTCGCCAATTTCACTCAATGCCTCGTGAACCAGATGTAAATATGCGCCAATGGATTACAAAGGTCGAGAACGCAGCTCGGCGCTTGGACGAACTCGGCTCTCCCATAATCCCGATTGACATTATCAATGTCATCATTCGCCAACTTCCCCCATCCTATGCTGCACTCATTGTCCACTTCGACACAGAACTCGCCAACCCCACATCCAGTGCAGGTATAAATCCTGTCCAGTATGTTATCATGAGACTCCTGAATGAGGAGAACCGACAAATGGAGTACCAGGCAGTGGAAACACAAGCTGCACTCGCTGCACACTCAAAGGAGCCACGAAGGACCCCTGTTAGCTGTTTCAATTGTGGCGATGTAGGACACAGCCGGCAAGACTGCAAATTAAGTCCTTATGAAGTACGACTCCGACGCGAGCTGGAACTGGGGAAGAAGAAGAAGAAGGATGAACGAGCAAACATGGTCGAAGATCCCGAGCCTAAATCAGGATCAGACATTGAAACATTTGCGTTATATTGATTTCATTTCATTTTTGGTTATTACATGTTTTCTTTGCTTGAGAGGGTGTGTTGGAATCAAGCACGATACATGTATTTACACATGTTTGCACCGATGTTTTAATCCTAGTGGTCTATCGTTAGCTGGTCCGATCCCGGCCCCGTTGTGCCCTCACTCCTATGAGTTTACAATAGGTTATGAGCCCAGTTACTCTGAGGGGACCCCCAGGACCTACCATGACTGTAAGCCGGTCTGTGACCTTTGCAGGATAGGTTTAATCAGCCGCAGGTCTAGGGGGAGTGTTGCAGTACGATAGACCTGCCTCCTATTGGTTGATGCAATCTCCTAGAGAACTGCTGTGGCCATATGGTGTAGTGGTTTATCACCTCCAAATATATGTTGGATGGACCCGGGTTCGAATCCTGGTGTGGCCACCCTTTTCAGAGTTTACAATATATTAAACCATGATTAAAAATGTGCGAACCAACACACTGAGCTCTTCTGGTGGGTCCTGAACTTCAATGAGGTGATACACAATGTACCGACATGAGTAACTGAGTTGTTCAGACCACCCCAACAATGAAAGGTTGAGTGTTAATACTGAAAACTTAATGTCAATTAAACGACAATGCTTTCCTAATTTGGCAGACCTTAAGAACGACAAGTCGAACTGGAACAAGACTGCTGGTTATACCTCAGATGAATGTTCAGCTTTTGCCAGGATGTTGTTGTTGTTTATTCTGGATATTTATCCTGCAAACTTTAGGCTGCTCGTGAGAGCGCTGAGGGCAGGGGTTGGAATAAATACATGAAAATAAAGTGAGAAAATAATAATCTAAGTCCGATTCGAGTGCTCTCATGTGTTCTGACGAGGTTAACTCTGAATGCTGCTCCGCTTTTGAGTTGTCGCGTTGTGCTGGCCGTTTTTGGGTGACAGTGTCGAAAAATGGGATGGGTTTCACTGTACAGCGATGTCATAACTCAGTTCATGTTGGTTTCTCCTATTATGTCTCTCTTTGCTTCTCATATGCTCCACTCGCCGCCAGAAATCCTGCTATTCTGTCCATTCCTTTCTCCTCCTCCAGGAGGTTGTTGTCAGGGGACGCCCAGTTATCCGGCCCCCCTTTACTCTAAGCGATATCAATGAGGTAATTGTTAGCCAAGATTGCGTGAGATAATTACGTAGTTAAAACGCAGATATAACTCATTGCACTATATTCGCTATCGCGTCACCCCTTACCCGATATTCCCTCATTTCCCACATCTTCTATCTTCCTATTTGATGTTGTGTTTCTATTAGTTACCATCTTCCCAATGTAACTGCACTCTCGTGAGTTAGCAGAACTCATGTACATAAGGCTACTATGCCAGCTGGGCTAGCCTCCCAGCTTTGATATCGACTAGTTTCCTGGGGATACTCTTACGCTGCGAATAGACGCACGGACTCTGACAGTCGTCCAGGATCAGTTCACCTTCATCGTCTGGTAGCAGGCTTCAGTAGTGGTCGTATTTTGGGCACTCAAGGAGTATGAGTTTTGTTAGAATGGGCGGATTCGGACGACTCCGGAGTGGAATCGGAGACTTAGCATGGAAGGACCTTGGCCTCAGCGACTCAGGCGGAGCGCTGTGCCATTGCTGGTTGTCCTAGGGGTCCCTAATTTCGGATCTAGCAGAGGGAAAGTCTCTTGGGGGCATTTCAAGTCGATTTCGGACTGAGGTTACAAGTTACTATGTACATTGTATATAAGGAGGGGTCCAGAATCAAAAGGAGCGAGGGTACTCCGAAAGGAGACAAAGGGAGCTGGAAAGAGGAACAACACCGAGGGTCAAGGGTTTGACTCAATGGTGTTTCCCAAAGGAGGAGTGAAGGGCCGAGGCCCAAGGAGGAAGGAAGGAGGTTGGGAGTGGGGAATGGCTAGCTGACTGAATAGAAAGGAAGCAGCAGCCCAAATAGGAGTGAGGGAGAATAGCGGAATTGAATAGGACAATGCAATAGTTGCAAGGTCCGACGTAAGTCCGGAAAGTCCGAACTTGGAAGTTAAACTCCGGAATATTGGCAAACGTAAATAAATGGAATGAGCTAACCAATACAATGGGTATAAGTGGAGGTGGGGTCAAAGTCCAAGGTCAGAGCTAAGACTGGAGGTTCCGGAGACGGAGACGCAAATGGGATTCCGGAGTGGAGGTCTGGAGTCGGGAGCATAGGTGTTGCATACTCATCTGGAAGGTGTCGAGGTTGAGGTCGGACCCGGAATGTTCCGGAGTCGGAACAAAGGTGGTGTTGGAGCTGGAGGGGGATAACCTCTTGGGAGTCGGCAAGGAGAAGGTGACAGAAGGGAAGTAGGGCTCCGGAATCAGTTTCGGAGTCCCGGGAGCCTGGAGTGGAGGTTGGGATTGTATGGATATGACATGTTTTCTCGTTTCTACGGTTTCCCTGCAGGTGCAACTGGGGTCCTCTGTCAGGAGGAAGTGGTTGTAATATTGTTCAATGAATGCATGGTGGGAGGCTACGGCCAGACAGAAGCTGGCAGCCATCCGACAGGGAAGCGACTCTGTGGACAAGGTTATCCAAGAATTCGAGATACTGGGACCCGCCTTGAGGCTGGGCGATGTGGGACTGGTTGACCGTTTCGAGCAGGCCATCAACTCCCGCCTCTGGGAGAGCATATACCGGCTCCACCCCATGCCCACTACTTGGGCAGAGTGGAAATGCAAGGCCACCCTCCTGGACAACCAGTGGCGACGCTTTCAAGCCACCCAACCACGTGCGTTTCCACCCAAACCCCTGCTCCCATCAACCCGACCCACCTCATGCACGACCCACACCCACGCCCCCTCGACCCGCACCCGCTCCTCCACCTCCTACCCCAGCAGCCTGCCCCACAATGGGAGCAGGCCCACAGCCAATGGATCTCGACTGCTCAAGAACTGACCAGAGGTGGTGTTACAACTGTAACACCCCAGGGCACATCCAACAAGACTGCCCACACCCCAAGGTCCGCCGGACACGACGCCTCCACCCTGAAGACCTTCGGGCACTGATGGAAGGGCTGAAAAGGCAGTTGACTGAAGGACCAGAGGCAGAGGAAGCAGAGCCGGAAACAGAGACTCAGGGGGATTTTCAGGAAGGCGACCGGTGAGGGATGCGTCCCAGCCGCCTGTAGAGGATAGCTCGTGTAAATACCGCAGTGTGTGTAAGTCAGTGCCAATGCCAAAACTTCACCGAGTTATCGCAAAGAAAAAGAGGAAAACCACATCCTCAACCTGTGAGAGTAGAAGGACTGCAGAGGGAATGCCTGAAGTGGCAGTATCCCCGCCTGCTATCTACGTTCTTTCCAAGCAATCCCCCAGGTCCCTTAACCTCACGGTCAAACTGACCACCCTAACCTCACTCACGTCAGTGTCTGTATCGGCCCTCCTGGACTCAGGAGCCACCGGGAACTTTGTGAGCCCCAAATTCGTCCGGAAGCACAAGCTTGAGACAACCCCACTCCCGCAGCCTATCCCTGTCCGTAACGTCAACGGGACCCTGAACGAGAACGGAGCCATAACTGAGGAGCTGGAGGCCCTCCTGACATTCAGGCGGCACACAGAGCAAGCCCACTTTGTGGTCGCAAACCTCGGGCAGCAATCCCTCATCATTGGTCACTCATGGCTGCTACACCACAACCCAGAGGTAGACTGGGCATGCCAGAAGGTCGTCATGTCTCGCTGCCCATCCTCCTGCAGACAGCCACAAGCACGAGAGGACCAAGACCCCGCCCTAGAGCCTGGGGACGGGATCTATGCTGCAATCATCCCCCCAGGCTGGGGACACGACCTAAGAGCCACCACGACCCCCTCTCAGTGGATGGCCCAGGAGGCCCAGGAGGCCCGCGACCTGGGCGCAGAACCCGTGTTGTTTGAGACGCTAGTACCAGAGCACTACCAGGACTTCTGGGACGTATTCTCGAAGGAAGCTTTCGACCAGCTTCCCCCCCAGAAGCCCTGGGACCACGCTATAGACCTGGTACCAGATGCCAAGCTGCCCAGGGGAAAGACCTTCCCCCTCTTGCGGCCGGAACAGAAAGAGCTGGACGAGTTCCTGCACAAGAACTTGCAGAACGGGCGCATACGACCGTCCAAGTCCCCAATGGGGGCACCAGTCTTCTTTGTCAAAAAGAAAGATGGGTCACTACGCCTAGTACAGGACTACCAGAAACTGAACGAGATTACCGTAAAAAACTCGTACCCACTCCCACTGATCTCAGACGTCCTCACCCACCTCCGGAGTGCCAAGTACTTCTCTGCCCTAGACCTACGCTGGGGGTTCAACAATGTCCGGATCAAAGATGGGGACAAGTGGAAGGCAGTGTTCGCAACCAACCAAGGGCTGTTCGAGCCCATGGTAATGTTTTTCTGTTGTAGTCAATAGACCTAGTAGTCGATAAGACCTACAGGCTCCTAGAGAACCAGTCGTGGCCGCATGGTGTAGTGGTTATCACCTCCAAATATATGTTGGATGGTCCCTGGTTCGAATCCTGGTGTGGCCACCTTTTTCAGATTACAATATCTTCGGGCTGTGTAACTCCCCTGCGACCTTCCAAACGATGATGAATGATATCCTCAGGGACTTCATCGACCGGGAGGTCGTCATTTGCTACATGGACGATATCCTCATCTTCACAGCTACCTTAGAGGAGCACCGGAAGGTCATCCGGGAGGTCCTGGAAACGCTATGAAAGAGGAGGCTGTTCCTGAAGCTGGAGAAGTGCAAATTCGAGCAGACCTGGATCGAGTACCTCAGCCTTGTCATCTCAGAGGGTAGCGTTGCGATGGACCCCGTAAAGATCCGTGGAGTCCTTGACTGGCCCACCCCAACCAAGGTGAAGGAGGTGCAGTCCTTCCTGGGGTTCGTAAATTTCTACCACTGGTTCATCAAGGACTTCTCTGAAAAGGCACGCCCGCTCCACAAGCTGACCCGGAAGACCCAGGCTTGGAACTGGGGCACGGACGAAGACAATGCCTTCCGTGCCCTTAAGGAAGCTGTCACCACCGCCCCAGTCCTCTCCTTCCACACTGACTTGGGCTGCTTCAGGCTCGAGTGTGACGCCTCCAATTTCGCAACTGGTGCAGTCCTCTCCCAGCTCCAACCCGATGGGGAGTTCCACCCAGTGGCATTCATGTCCAAGAGTTTCACGGACATGGAGCGTAACTATGAGGTGTACAACAAGGAGATGCTCGCGATCGTCTGAGCTCTTGAAGAGTGGGCGACACTTCCTAGAAGGTGCTGAGGAGAAAGTCGAAGTCTATACTGACCACCATAACCTGGGGTACTTCCAGATGGCCCAGAGGCTGAATTGACGCCAGGCTAGGTGGTCCCTCTTCCTCTCTCGTTTCCACTTTACCCTTGTCCACTGTCCCGGGAAGCTCATGGGAAAACCGGACACACTCTCCCGTCATGCTGACCACCTGAAAGGGAAGGATGACAACGAAGGGCTAACCCTCCTCCAACCAGCCTGGTTTGAGGCTCGTGCAACAGAGGGAATCTCGGTAGAAGGAGAGGAGGTAGGAATTCTAGAGCGGATATCCAAAGCAAAAGACCACGATGAGAAAGTGGTAAAGGCAATGCGAGAGCTGGGAGAAGGGATGCTAAGGTCGGACAAATGGGAGAGGCAGGGTGAACTAGTTCTGTACCGGGGGAGGGTGTACGTCCCTAAAGACCCCCAACTCCGCCATGATCTTGTGCGGCTACACCACGATGCATGGGCGACAGGACACCCAGGGTGATGGAAAACCCTGGAACTTGTCTCCCGTGACTACTGGTGGCCCTGAATGGCAGAGTATGTCGGGCGGTACGTACACGGGTGCGACACCTGCAACCACATCAAATCTTTCCCCTCACGAAAAGTTGGGAAGCTCACCCCAAACAAGGTCCCCACCCGTTGCTGGCAAGTAATCTCAGTAGATATGGTGGGAGAGCTCCCAGAGTCCAAAGGCTATAATGCCATCCTGGTGGTAGTAGACCACCTGTCCAAGCGTATCCATGCAGTCCCCACCGTGACGACTGTGGACTCAGAGGGTATCGCACGGCTCTTTCTAGGGCACGTCTGGAGGCACCACGGGCTCCCAGAGGAGATCCTCAGCGACAGAGGGAGCGCCTTCATCTCCCACTTCTCGAAAGAGCTCGTGGACCTTCTAGGCGTCAAGCTGACCCCTTCAATGCCCTACCACCCCCAGATGGATGGACAGACTGAGCGGGTCAACCAAGAGATCAAAGCTTATCTCCGGGTGTTCATCAACCATCGACAAGACGACTGGGCCAACTGGCTTCCACTGGCGGAATTCTCCTACAACAACCGCATCCACTCATCCACCCACCGAACTCCTTTCGAACTCGACACCGGCCAACACCCCAGGATGGGGACAGAGCCCACACGCACATCCGAGGTGGAAGCTGCTGACGGTTCTCATCAAGGATGATGAAAATGCAAGAGGAGGCGAAGGCCGCACTGGAACACGCAGCGGAGGAGATGGCCCGTTACTACGACCGAGACCGCAAAACAGCCCCAAAGTACCAAGAAGGCGACTGAGTCTGGCTCAGTGTGCAAAACTACACGACTGACCGCCCAACCAAAAAGTTGGACCACAAATGGCTTGGCCCCTTCAAGATCGTTAAAGTCATCCCCCCCGCTGCCATCAAACTCCAACTTACCGCACACCAGAAGGGAATCCACCTGGTTGTATCCGTAACGAACGTCAGACCACACCGCCCGGACGATATCCCAGAACGACCCACTGACCCCCACCCAGGTCCGGAACTTGTAGATGGAGAAGAAGAGTATGAGGTCGAGAAGGTATTGGACTCTAAGTGGCTACACCGGAAACTCTGGTATCTGGTAAAGTTCGTTGGTTGGCCAAGCTCAGAGAACCAATGGCTCCAATGGGACCACTTAACCCATGCCCCTGACCGGATCGAGGAATTCCACAGGATGCACCCCCAAGCCCCAGGGAGAGAAAGGGAGAACCATCTGGCCACTTCAAGGCGAAGCGGCTTAAGGAGGGGGTGATGTCAGGGCACACCCACCTGACCCAGTTCCACCTGGGCCCACCCGGGCCCACCTCACCGCTCACCTGCTCACCCGCTCCCCACTACCCATCCTTCCTCCTCCCTCCTTCCTCCCTCTTCCCCTTCCTCCCTTTCCTCCCTTTTCCCTCTTTTCTCTTTCTCCTTTATTTCATTCTCCCTTTCTGTTTATTCTTTCTATTTACATGGACCACCTTCCCTTGTATCATTGTACTGTTGACCCATCTGGCTCGGACACCCCGGACGACTTCCTGCTACGCCCAGCACGCACACCTGCAGCAGATGCCCTCGGGATCCCCCGCGGGGATACCCGGATGGCTGTGGCTCTCTCCGTAGATGACATGGCACTCATCATGTGACCCAAGCCGCATGTACATAAATGTACCTGAAGTGGGAACTGAAGAAGTAACCTTCTTCTCATGTTTTCCACTTCAGGTAAGTAGTGTAGTTCTTCCTTTTAATAACAATTCACGTTTTCCACTTCAGTCCAAGTGGCCAGGGACTACAGTCCCAGATTGGGCCCGTCAGTACGTGTGCCCACTTCGTCCCCCGAGAGGGTCCCTCTGCTGGGCGCTACAGCCAGGCCCCCTCCACCCCGGACGCGTCCCTGACAAAGTCCTGGGTTCAATACCAGGCTTGTCCATTTTATGTCATTTGTCCAGTCATGCTGGTTTACATCATAAGAATTTGGAGCTCCAGATAAGTCCAGTAGTCGCACCGGATACAAATTTCCTCACTTGCATCCACGCACGCTGGAGTTTATTCACCTATTGCTCGTCACGGGAACACAGTAATATGGTACTATAGGTGCACCACCTGACCTACCCTCTTAGATAGGCTTTCGCCCTTTGGGTGCATGCACCGCTGCACTGGTGCACTCGAGTGAAAATTCCCACAACTGTGCAAATGCCCGGAGGGCCCAGAGAAGCTCTGGGGTACCGTGACCTGGAAACTCGGAAAACCCTCTATGCCGCAGCCTTCTTCGGAGCTCACTGTCACATGTCCTTCTGGCAACGTCACCCAGTGCATCGTCATCGTCATCAACGTCGTCAACAACATTGATGATATTTCTCCCTCAAACTTACTATTCCTTTATTACTTGTGACATAACTTCCTTTTTCCTTTGTCCTTATTGCCATTTGCCACTTCTGCATCGTTCTTGACAAACTCAACATTATCGGCACTTAGAACTTGTCTACTAAGTACATAGTCATGTAGCGATCAAATCAATTCCAAATTGAGATTCTCCAAAGCACTGGTTATTCGATTGATGAGATGGTGTGACTCCTCCTCAACATCCTCATTCTCGGTTTCCAGGGGCAATGTCAGGAACGTGCCAGATGCATATTTGGGTGACCTGCGAGGCGCGCGAGGTCATCCGGGCTCGTGAGGTCGGAGGGGCAGGACTTTAGCTTCAGTGACTCGGGTGGAGCGCTGCGCTTCGTTCTTACGTTGGTGTCCCAATTTCAGACAGAAGCCTTACGATGAGGATAAGAGTTTAGAGGGGGAATCCAAGTCGATATACGAACTGAGGTACATCCAGTGTAACCTACACACGTTATAAACACAAGTAACTAAATGAGACCGGCCCGGAAGGAGTGGCGGATCAAGCACGATATTAATGAATGGAGAAAGGAACAAATAGTTAATGTCGGCAAACTTGGTCAACAAAAGGCAAGCAAGGAACAAAAGGAAGAACAATAGTCCGCAAGCGGACAAAAGAGAAAAGACCATCCAGCCGTCTAGCAAGCCGTCCAGCTGGTGAGTGGACAACAATGAAGCGGGCAACCTAGGTTGGAAGGTGCGCGCATGAGGGAGGAAGTGCGGATGAGGGTGACGGGTGGATGGGTGGGTGGACGGATGATGATGATAGCAGGAGGGATGGGCCAAGTGGCACTAGGACACGTTGACAGAAGTGACGGATATGTCGGGTCATGACAGGCGAGCCCACTACATCACCATCAACATCCATGACTGCTCCGGATGTATGGGCTGGGTTGTTCAACTCCTCAGGGGGTGCCATGTTTGTTGGCCTGTGAGGTGTTGCAGTGGGATCCCATTCATCAAATGGTTCTGCTCGGAGTCAATACCATCATAAGTCCCTTGCACTATGAAGGCACTTACCATTGAGTGGGATACCGTTTAGATTGCCTGGAGCTTCATGGGGGCGGGGCTTGCTGGTGGCCTTTCTTCCCTTTGAGTTAGAAAGTGTGCAACCTTATCCAACTGAGTGAGTTTGGCGTGTAGGTGCACATTGACATTGCAGTGGTATCGAGAGGTAATGGAGATGTATTCGGCTAGAGCGGGATCGGTCAACGGTGTATTCTCAATAGCCCCCCGCAGGTGAGTTTCCTCGCATTCCATTGCAGCCCATACCCGACGAGCCTCAAGGCTGACAGTTTCGATCTCTTCACAGGCCTGTTGCAACTTATACCAAGCTCGAGTGGCGTTACAAAGAAGGGGCTTTGCCCATGGCTTCTGGTGTACATCGTCACGGCCCTGCAAGATCACGATATCAGAAAGGAATTCGAGGCTGATGACATCATCCCAGCTCAGTCTTGGTTTGGGAGGGTTCATGGCAGTGGCTAGACAATTGTATTTCTCCAGCATGGAGCTCAGTGATTTTCCCCGCTTTGCTAATAAGGACGATATTTGCTGACGGGTTTTGTAATCTGAAATAATTAATATTGTATGGTGAACAGAAAAGAAGCCAGCTAATCACTCACCTGTCCTTGGAAGCCCCATCTTTTCAACTTCAAACTGACGTGATATTGCACGGTGCTCAAGTTCATCAAGGAGTTGATTGAATTCTCTCTGCTGATGTAGCGCAATTGCCTCAAGCCATTCAGGGGAACTGGGTAGCCAGGGTTGGGTGTCAGACATGGAGGTGGGTAGCGCTGATGATAACATTGACAGAGCAGAGCGAGCACTCTCAACAGCTTCGCTCGCCTCTCGCAAATGCCGGTCAGCATGTTGAGGCAGTGGCCTGGTTGCCGTGATCTGTGCTATCCAATAATGCACCGTTTCTCTGAACAAAGTATGGTGACTTTGTGAACAATTACAATTAATAATCATGCTCATCAGCGCGTTCGAGGTGTTCTGTGGCTTCTAAATACATAACCTTCATCTTTTCGTCTTCAGGCTCAAATTGAAGTGAAGAAATGTACTTGTGCTCTTCATCCAGCCATTGTGGGCATTGTGTGTTGGGTTCGAAGTCAGGTTCCATTCGTGCCGTTGCCTCAAGTGTTTCCAGACTTTCCTTGATTATTCTCCATGCCGTCGCATGGTTGTTGAGCAGAAATTCACCTATTCAAGAGGGAGGATTTTCAGTGAGGGCGTCTGGCATACTAGCATACTTACTGAACGGATGACCTACCTAGACGTTCATACTTCGTTTCATCCCACTTTGTAAAATGAATATGGATTCGGAGATGTCGATGGTATGGTGATGAATGTCGAGTTGTTGATGCAAGGGAGTTGCTCTCAGAGAATACACGTTCATTTCCCTCGCCATCCTCGATCCCAGCTCCCTTCTGTAAACTGATAAGGAAATCGAGCTGGCAGAGTCTGTTGTGAGCAGCGCCATGAAAAGAGCCAGTACAACACTTAAAGTTTGCTTCTCATGCCTTATTACCAATGGATGACTTGGCAAGGGTGGCAGAGAATGTGCAGCCAATATCGTATGTGAGTAAAATGTTGTTGCCAAATGTTCATATAAGTTGATCAGCGGCAGCGATTGGATATTTAGCTCTACCGCTGAATCAGCTTCAATTAATATTGTGCATTTCAATACTCACAATTCCCCGCTTTGAACCATGTCCATGAGGAATTGGACAATTCCATGCCGACAGACGACAGAGAACACCCCAGTCTCGTCCATGAGCTGTGCCATGCGTGACTTGGGCTTTGAAGGCATTGGCTGGGCATTCTTCCATGCTAAGCAGCTGTCAGGGATAAATGAAGAGGATGGGTCATTCGACTTGAAGCCTTTAATACTGAACAAATCCAGGCTGACGAGGGGAGCAAGGTACATACTGAGATATCACATTGTGAATGCTTTTGGGTGTCAGCAAAGCCGTCGACTTGTTCTCGGGAGATAAAGTAATCGCTGGGGAAAACTCGAGCATCTGTAGCAAAATTGTGGCGCAGCCTTGAAAGTGATGTGTTACCATCAGCTGTGACGATGAATTGGATAGGGCATTCAGGCTCATTTTCAACCTAAAATGGGAATGCGACATGAGCTTGTCTTTCGCTGAGTCCTAACCTAGATCACTCACCTTGTGGTGGCATGCAGGGCAGGAATTCTTAAGACGGTAATCAGGCTCCACCTGACCTAGGGCCTGCGTGGTGAGTTTGTCTAAGTGGAAGAGGATACGATAGAAAATATCAAACATGAGTGATAATCGTGTTCGTAAGTATGATTGATATGCCACCTAATGCCTGGTCAGTGGTCCAGCAGCGGTTGCAGGAGGATAAAGATCAAAAACAGCTCACCTTGTGCATGTCAGAAATTAGATGCGTGAAATGCTGAATACTGAAAGCAGGGGCTGCTCTGAAAAGAGAATGCAAAAGCTCAAGTGATCGCAGGGATATTGCAATCTGGGGGTCCCTTGGTGTAGGCAATAAATATCCGGCATGCACCAGTGAGTATGTAGGATGGACATCTTCATTGCACCTAGATAAATATTCATATGTAAAACCATCTGCACAGTATGCCACTAGTGGAATTAATCAAATAGATAAATCAAAGGACAGCTTACCAAATATATCGATGCATCTGACATGGATGTAGCTGCCATTGTCTGGAGGCAAGAGATGATGAGAGGGTGTAGAGCGAGGGTTGGCGGTTTTGAACTGAAGGTACAGGGTGGCGAGGTCAGTAAGCTGCTCTGCCCAAGCTCCATGTAGCCTATCCATCCGGTTGCTCCAAATGTGACTTTTCTTGCACCTGAATAAGACAGGAGTTTGGTCCTGGTGAAAGTGAAAACTAAGGAACCCAAAAATACATACAGCTTCGGGAGGAGGGAGTTTACCACCGCCAGGAGCTGCTCTTCAGCAATCCCTTCATCCTTAACCAACCCAGCATCCACCATAACAGGGTCATCCACCCACTCATCCTGGTTTCTGACAGTGGAGGTGAAGCCGTCATTTTGGAGTTCTTCCAGCTCAGCTCTGGCTTCAACCGGTGCATCTAATTATCAAGTTCATATTTGTGGTTGGTCGGGTACTACTGGCTTTCCACATACCTTGAAGAATCCTTTTCCGAGTCTCTTCCATCTCAAGCTGTGCCCTCTTCTGGGCAACGAGTCCATGCCTTTCCAATTTTCCTGTGCCCACCAAGTTAGTTACGACAGTGTTTCGCATTGTTTTTGATTGCCCAGCCATTAGAACCACACAGCTGTACAGTAAAACAAATATGGTCATTAATCTCATGCCAGATGGACAAGGGAGATAAAACTGACAGAGTGTAACGACTAAATGTTGAGCTGAGCTGATCAATTCAAAATGCCCTGTGCACTGTGTCATGAAAAACTAACAATACAATCTCTGTGTGTTCAATTGTCAACACACCAGTCTCAGTTTCCACCCAACGCTCCAGCATCATGTCCCAAACCAAAGCCAAGGGTAAATAATCGAGTATATATAAATCGATGACAAGGCTCACTACAATTCTAGATGCCACGTTGCAAGACATACATGCTACAGCCCAGTGCATGTTCGATAACTTCATTTGGGGCACTCAAGTGAGATACAGGCTCAGTGCCAAAGAGATAGGCTGGTTTCTTCAGTCAGTGAGCGATGTTTGTTGAGGACTTCAGCGTTCCTTTCAGAGTCCACGGTAAGTAGATAACTAAACATTAAAGTCTGGAAAACTTACTCCTTCCCTGATAGGCTGGAAGCCAAATTGGAGCGGCTGCAGGAGCCTACAAACGATCGAGGAATACATACCGACCCATATCTTCACTGCAGAGATGGGCCACATGGTACAGCGACAACTTGCTGCCCCGCTGATGGGGGTAAAAGAGAAGCTCAACGAGGTCAATGCATTTGTGAGTTGTCAAGTGATATTATCTTGTGACTGAAACAGGAACTTACACTGTGGAAATAGACAGATGTCTTGGACCACTTAGGGCAGCCAAGCATCATGTTAGTCAATTATGATGGTCGAATGTTGCCCATCATGATACTTGCCTTGACGAGTGTTGAGGAAGATGAACAGTGGAGTGCGCTGCGTAAGGAGATATTAGACAAGGTATCAGAAGGAAAGGGAAGCATACCAACACCAGCCTCTACCTCAGCGGCTTCAAGCGGCGTGCCGAGTGGAGAGCCCAGGCAGCCTCTCCCATGGAAAACAGAATTGCCAATTAGGGAGAACAACACTCCAATCCCTTCCCTATGGAAAATGCCAGATCCTTTGGCAGTGGCTCCAGCCCAAGACACAACCCTTGCTGAAGCTCACGAACTTGCCAAATTGATCAACGAACTTGATAGTATTGACTTCACTCGAGCAGGCACACCCATGAGTGTTGTTCCACAGCTCATCCCTGCCAGTTCCACCACTTCATCTGACCTAACAGAGTTCACTTCTACTGCAAGCCAGATTGGGCCTGGCACTCACGCTGGCTCGTACAACATCATCACCGCCACTGAATCTACTTGGTCAGCGTTAAGTGCTGCATCACCAAGGAAAACCAATGCCCGTACCAGAACAGCCCCCATTGGGACAACATCCCATCACCTTCCTCTGACTCAGGCAAACCTGGAACAAATGTCATCATCTCAACTAGCCAATATGTCCAATACTCACAGTGGGGGGGCTGCTACACATCTGAGAAGTGAATTAACGATTTCCTCGTATGTGAAGGCAAATATGGATTTGGGCTCTGAGGAGATCGACCTTATCATTCGTTTGTCGCAACTGGAGAACTTCAACATTGAGAACTTCCACTCTATACTGATTGCACAGTTTTGCTGCACCTGTGGGCAAGCTAACTTCCTTGCAAAACTCGCAGCTGCTGGGTGAGAGGAGCACTGTACTTCCCATCCTATGTAATTCCCCCCCCCCCCCCCCAAAAAAAAAAACACCTGTAATCGCAATTCAATAAGAATTTATGAGCTGTGCGATGCCCCATTATGGGATAAACTGTTTACCTGTATTTGTTTATCAGTCGGGCCCTGGATGAACTCCGAATCCCCCACCCAGCTCACTGCTAATGCCAGAGAGTTTCTGACATCCCAGCAGATGTCTACGCGACCTGCAGGCTCGCTCATTGTGCCCCAAAATCTATCAAAAACCAGAGGGCAGAATTAGTATGAACATCATTCAACAAACGAGTTCTGCACCTTAAAAAGACTTTCAAAGCCCAAGTGAATGCCATCGCTCAGGAGTTCGCTAGGCATGGTTCATGCTACTCAGCAAACCAAGTACGAAAGCAAATTGTCTTCAAGTTTTCGGCACCAAAAAAAAACGCGAAAGCCCATGTTCTTGAACGCATGGGCACATGCCAAGGCTCAGGCACGTCGAAAAAAGGGTATGCAACTTCAGTATGGGATGCAAACTATGTGGACACACACTTACTGGCTATAATAGAAGATGCATTGCCAAACCTCCCATATTCTAAGGACTACCTTGAACTTCTTGATGAGATCAATAATGAAGGCATCACATTCGATGAAGTCTTGAACCCGCAGACTCCGATGGATGAGCACCACATGCAAGTCATCATGGATGGAGTCATCGTCAAACGGGAAAATCGGGCACTGAAGGAGAATCCTATCTCACCCAAACTCTCCACACAATGCATGGCACTGCATGCCCATGATCAGCTCATCCAGATTGTAAGCATCAAAATTAGAATAGTCGCCAGAGGACCTAATGAGGGAAGCAGGCAGAGACTGTGAGCCAGTCATGTGGTATCCATCTCATGTTCATGATGACAAAAGGGTCCAGTGATGATTTGTTCGTGCCGGTTGTGTGGGCATCAGAGAAGGCCAAGGAATACTGGTTGGGGATAGCGAACAAGAAGTTATGGCAGCATGCCTGGCTCATGGAGGCATACTGCGTTGGCACACTAAACAGTAAGGAATTCAGAGCTGGCTAGTTTGCACTGCTGAAAGGATGGGAAAAGATGTTGTGAAGGTTCACAAGGAAGGGGCAGGGTCGTTGTGTACTCAGATGAAGGAGTGGACTAAATCTGAACTACGTGAGTGGCGCTCCATCAAAGTTGTCAGAAAATCCATTCTAAGAGCCAGGAAAAGAAAGGATAACCGGCAATACTCAACTTGGGATGGAATGGTTACCCCATAATTACCTAAAGCTGACAATCAAACATGGTGTTAAGATCGATATGACGAACTACCCAGGTGGTGAGATAATTGAGCCGATGAATTCCGTCGTCGCACATCTCCAAGAGGTGATCAGTGGGTGGAAGAGTGGAATGATTCGTTGGATTACGTTGACTGCAGAAGGAATTGAACAGCAGAATGCAGAGCTTTCTCGTCTAGAGCTCAAAGCAGCCCAAGCCCAGGCTGGAAACAGCAGTGAGCCGCAAATTGTGTATGATCACCGTTCTAGATCAATGCCACCCAGTGACATGATGGTCTTGCTTAAGCCTAGGTGACAGTGCGCGGGCTAACATGGTCGCGAGTGAAAGGGGTATATGCACGGATGATAGTGTGGCACTGGCACAACCAAGGTTCATGAAATCTAGAATACTGTTACTTGAACTCTGACATAAGGAACCCTGCAGTGACTCAAACAGTGATAACACCACACTTACAAGCAACGCCACCCACCAAGAGATTGGGCCTGCAGTGACTGCAGAACCCGGTACCAGCACACGAACCACATCGTAGGGCCACGATTTCTCAAAAGCTTGTGAGGTAACTAACTGTTTTGACAGAAAGAACTGCAAGGTGCCTGCAAATGCGCAGCCACGGAAATCCTGCGACGAAACGCCTTGCACAGCAACGAGAAAGAAAGGGGGATGGGAATGCCTGGACAATGAGATCTGACAAGTGCAGGCACTACTCCTTGCCTGTACATGTGTGTGTGTGCAGGTGGTGTGGGTAACTTGGAGAAGCCTCAATAACGATGTTCCCATTCTGCTGCATAAGGCAACTCATTCATTGTTTTCATTCTCATTGTTCTCACTACAGTAATCGCCTACATATGTGTATCGGATTTCAGGAAAGGTTGGAGTTAATAACGCCAATAATGTTGAGTTCGTCGAGAACGATGCGGAAGTGGCAAATGGCAATCTATCTCATATCTCATAATGAAGTCTCATAATTCTCATAATGAAGTGAGGTTGAATGTATGGTTCTATTCAGTTTTTGTATTGTCCTATTCAGTTTAATTAACATAAGCAATGCAGTTCTCTGAGCCGTGGGACCTGTTTCAATGTTAACAATTGTACTAGATAACCTGTCATGGTGTAATAATAAAAGATGGAGAGGTGACCATGACGCGCCCGTTGCAAAAAACCCGATGGAAAACGGTTGAAAACTGAGGGAGATACGAGTGGTGGCCCATCCCAGTGCGAGGTGTGTGCGTGGGAAACAGTGTCCACGGCCTCATACAGGCTGTTTGACGATGCATGCTAATAAGATTAAATAAGGAGGCTGTTTATACAAGCTCATTGAAAAAAAAACCGATGAAAAACGAACAAGATTTGACAGAGATATGCATGTACATGTCTTTTGTGTGTGAAAAAATGTGAAAAAATGTCCCACCACCTCGTAGACCCTCATTCGCAATGTGCGCCAATAATATAAAATAACAAAGGAGTTAGTACAAGTATGTACAAAAAAGAACGACGAAAAACGAATGAGAATTGACAGAGATACGCATGAACATTCCATTTATGTGTAAAAAATGTAAAAACACGTCCTACTGCCTCATAAGCGCTCGCTCGCGACTTGCACCAATGATATAAGATAACTAGGAAGTTGGTATGGCCCATTAAAAGAAACCCAACAAACAACGAATGAAAATTGACAGAGAAACTAATGTACATGCTTTATTTGTGGAAAAAACGTTCCCCCTCCTCATTCACGCTGATCCACGACTTTCACCAACAATAACCCATGGAAGTAGAGTTAGTACGGGCCCATTAAAAGAAACTCGACGGAAAACGGTCAAGAACTGAGGGAGATACCAATCCAGTGTCAGCTCCGCAGCTGATCTGTGCGTGGGAAACGGTCCCCAGCACCCTACAGATGTTTTAGAAATATGGAAAAATATTAGATACCTGCGTTAATACTATAGAAAATGGTTCGCAAAATTTCAGGACATTCGGCCCAGTATCAAGCGAGATATAATAAATTATGTGATTAATTTTCACTTGGCACCCTCAAAATCGCAAAATATCGAGTTGAGGTAATAATACAAATTGTAGAGGACATTAACACGCGCGCGTTGAAAGAAACCTGAAGAGAAACGAATAAGAACTGACAGAGATACGACTACAGTGTCACCTCTGCGCATGATTTGTGCGTGGGAAAACGCTTCCCAGTGCCTCACAGATGTCTTAAAAATATGTAAAAATGTCGAGTACTTGTGTTGATACTATATGAGATAGTTCGCAAAATTTCAGGACATTTGGTCCAGTATCAAGCGAGATATATGGCAATTGTCTACTTTGCTGGCTTTCAATTCAACGGAACAAGTCATGTGACTTTGATCGGTGATCGGATCAACATCTCTCTCTCCCTCTCCCTCACACACACTCTCTGTGCTTTCTGCAACCCCTGTTAACTATAGCACTCAATATCACACTTGGGATATCTCTGATATTGAGCAACTCAACACTCTGTTGCCACTTCTGGGGGAAATCTTGCAACATCTTGGAAAACTGTGATCACAATGTGAGATTCCCTCTTAAACTCAATCATCAACTGTGGTTCATGCCCAATCTTTAGGGCTGATGAAAGGCAATCACGACCTGAAGTATGAACACAACGAACACCAAGCCCTGAAACTTTTCGACATGCCCACCACTCAGAAAGTCGTGATGAACGCCACCTCCATTCTCCAACTGCATGGTGTGCTCCTGCTCCTCACCAACAACCCCCTCAGCCCCCACCACATGATCCATGGGTACAACAGCTCAATCAACGCTTGCAAGCCTACAATGAATTGCCCCCTCATCGGCCACTTAATGTGCGTGGAAGGCCCCATGGAAGGGCCTGTGGTCAAGCAGGCCATGTTTGTAGTGTTAAACTGAGAAGCGCGATACGTCTATTGTGATGTATGTACGTAGTGATGGATGGACTTACCTGAGAAGCGTGATACGTCTATTGTGATGTATCAGCTCTCAGTGCAAGTCCTGTCCTTATATACATTTAATGTCAGTTCTATGCCACTGAAGTGAAACGCGAATGGTAGCCAAAGTGTGAAAACAAAGGGCCAAAGTGACATTATGTTCACTGTCGATTGCCCTAAAAAGCGCCTCCTTCCCAAAGCTCTCAAAGCGTGAATGTACGGTCCTAGGACCACCAGTGGCGTCGTGCCGCAACTTCCAACATGTAGCCAATCTTTACCAAGCCAAGGAGAGCATGGGCTACAACAGGGTCCCAGAGGTGGAATTGCAAGCCATGCCCAATCACTTGGCCACCACTTCCCCTCTCCTCCACCAGCACCATGTGCACATGGTCACAATCTCCCTCCATCCCCACTCCGTCCCCCAGTCCCCCTTCATCCTGATCATCAGATCATCCAGCAGTATTGGCTCCCATATAGGGAGGGTCCAAATATACAAAATCCATCAGACGATCTTGGCAGAATGAACGTTCATTGCCCCCACTGCGGTGCTTTGCACTGGGAGAGAGAGAAACTTGCAAATTCACGAGTCAATCATCCACGTTTGGCTCTTGCTGTCTGCAAGGAAAAGTTCGACTCCCTCACCCACTTCCCCCACCTCCACTGCTCCAGTGGCTCCTCACAGTCCACTCTCACTCCCCAAACAAATCAGAAGCATTCAAGACCAAAGCTCAAGAGTTTCAGACAAACATTCATCACTACAATGCTGCACTCACATTCGTCTCATGTGGGATGAAAGTCGAGGATGGTTTCACGAATCACATGAACCAGCAAATCCCAGGTGCTGGGCCATACACGTTTCAGGTCCATGGGACGTTGTACCATCGCATCGGTTCACTGCTGCCACAACAAGGGGAACCACCAAGATACGCTCAGCTCTACATCTATGATCCCCATGACGATGCAGCAAGACACCACATGAACCAACTCCGTGTCAATCAGAATGCAGACCAAGACCCACAACTCCTGCTTGACCTGCATGACCTCATAACCCTTGGGTGCAAGTATATAGGTGAGGCATGCAGATCCAAAGGAAACTATGCACTTATATATGTAAAACAGAACTGGGCATGAGCGAATGCGTGACACCCCTCCTGATCAGCATAACCTCCCTCTACAGATTCATGTTGACATCCACCAAGATCAACGGCGCTACAATGCACCAGTTGTGGATGAGATCGCAGCCATCGTTCCTGGCGATGGTACAGATGCTGACAACACACATGACATCATTTTGCATCGAGTTGGTGGCCCACTTCAGCGTATCTCTGAGTCCCACCCTGCCTATACTCCCCTCCACTACGTCCTTCTTTTTCCATATGGAGAGTGTGGTTGGCATCTGGGGATTCCTTTCCATGATGCACAAGCTGCTGATGAGGGTGAAGGTTGTGATGAGGAGCACAACAACGATGGTGATGATGAGGAGGAACCAGGCATCACTGTGGTGTGGAGGAAGGTCACAAACGTCACTCACACCTGGTTCCATGCCTATCGCCTGTTCAAGTGTGAGATCCAAAATCAGAATGGTCAGTGGGTCTCAGACTCAAGCCTTCTTTTGCATGGTGGTATGTAATTCTGAAACCATATATGACCACTTTACTCACATGTTATTGTAGGCCACTTATTCCTACAGTATTTGGCCGATCACTGGGCTGCAAATGAGCAGTTGCGACTCAACTGGGTCAGGGCAAATCAGAGGATCATTTGTGCAGAATGCTACCAAGGCCTCATCGATGCTGTTTGCAATGACCAAGATCCTGCTCAGGTTGGCCATTGAATCATCCTTCCATCCTCCCACCCTGGCAGCACTCGCAATATGCTCCAACTCTTCCAAGATTCCATGGCCATCACCCGCTTCTTTGGCTTTGCATCGTACTTTGTCACAGTCACAGCCAATCCCCAATGGCCAGAGATTCAGGCTGCTCTTGAACCTGGCCAGAAAGCTTCTGACAGACCTGACATCGTTTGTCGAGTCTTCCATCAGAAGCTACGTGCATTCCTCAAGAATCTTGACAAAGATCCTCTCTTTGGCAAGACAATCGCACATGTCCATGTCATCGAGTTCCAGAAGCATGGCCTTCCCCATGCTCATATCCTCATTTGGGTCCAAAATGAGCATCAGCCAAGGGATGGCAATGACATCGATGCCATTATCAGGGCTGAAATCCCTGATCCACAGACAGAGCCTGCCTTATATGCATTGGTCATCCAGTGCATGATCCATGTCTGCGATCGCCACCAGTGCCTTGATGATGGTGGACATTGTAAGAAAGGTTTTCCCAGACCCTTTCCAACCTTGGATGAAGGTGGCTATCCAACCTATCGCCGTCGGTGTCATATCCGTGCATACCCGACCCCGACCCGACTTCCGGACCTCCACCCTCTTCACCTCCGGAGTCATAACCTACCGCTGCCGTTCCGATACTTACCTTCGTTCCTGGCAACACACCTCCTTGTACCCCCCCACGCCACCTCTACTCCTCCCTTCCTCTCCTACCCTATCTCCGTCCGCTCCGATACTCACCTCGGACCGAACATCGCCCCTCTTGCCACCCTCCTACTACTTCTCCACCCTCCTGTTCCGCTCCTCCTTCGCCCAACCTCCACCCTCCCATCACCCTCCTACGCTTCCCCCATCCGCTCCGATACTCACCTTCGGACCTGACAACCCTCCTCTCCGCCACTCCTTCCC